AACTTTCTGGATTAACTGGCCTTTTTATTCCTTTGTGAAACTCGTAAACTGACATTTAAGGCACTTGAAGTTAGCAGGATAGTCTTCCTGGATGTCCGCCTCTTTCCATCCCCACCACTTTGTTTGTGTGCCAAAAGTCAGTTACGTTTGTTTACAAACTTTTTTTTTTTTTTTTTTTTGGCCAGCTCTGCCTGTTATAGGAAATGGATGAAATATGAGTTTGAAAGAATTGTATTCTTTCTATGAAAACAAAGTCCGATAACAAATGTGTGAGAAAATTGTGAAAGTTTGGGAAAAAATGGAACATGGAAGAACTTGACACAAATTGCTTGTCAAAGGTCTTTAAGTATTCTTTCTATTTAAACTAACACTGCAAATCACAGGGGTGTGGGGTGGCACATTATAATTGTGGTTTATGACCCCAGACCCTAAGATGTGGTTAGAAACTCAAAGAAAAATTCTTGGCCCTATACCAGAAATTGGTGAATGAATATGCATTTACTTTAGGTGCATTTATTTTTTAGGTAAAATAAGTGGTTTAAGATATAGTTAAGATATATTGATTTTTATGTCTCTCAGCCAACTTTTTTGATTCACCAATTACTAGCCCCAATTGCATCAAATAACATGGCTTTTGTATATTGCACAGAAAATAAGCATGAACTGTGAGAGTTCATGGAGCCTTTAAAAAACCAGCTAAACGCTCTTTATTGACAAAACTTATCCCTTTAAACAGTCCATAGTGTTGAGAGATTTGAGGTCTGCTGTCTACTGAGGGCCATGATTCAGTGGCTTTGCCTCCAGAAGGTCTGCTTCTAACCACCACAAAGCAGGATGACAGAAATCCTGGCCGTATTCCTTTCCTTTTGATCTACTAGTCAGGTTTTTGGAGTGATTTCCATTTTCTCCTTTCTTCTCTTCAGGAGCAGAGGTAACTTGGAAGAGAATGCAACAAAAACAACTTGATGAGACTAATGAAGGCTTGCTGCATTCAGTGCAGGAGTCCCCTCCCTCCAATAGCTCCTGCTCACACAGGCGAGGCAAAGCCGCAGTGGAACAATGGTGTTCATTATGATGGGTCTCATTTTGGCATCTGTTTTCCAAATAATTATGTGGCCCATGTAATTAATTTTTGTGTAAAAATAACTAAGAAAGCAATACAAGTACAAGCTCATGGTAGAAGTTTCAATCAGTGCAGAAAGGTAAAGTCACATACTTTTAGTGTGGCCTTGGGCAAGACAGGGAGCCTCTCTGATGGTCAATGTTTCCATTTGCTAAATAGGATGACAGCTAATTTGTAGAGCTGCTCTGAGGATATAATGAGATAATGTATGTAAAAGGCCTATTATTATTATTTTACTTTATGGTTATGTAGGCACTATTTTCATGGCCTTGACAAAAAAAATAATTGTTACTATTGAGAAGTGTGTTGTTTTCCAGCAAGTTGGAAATGTTGGGAGGGACGCACATGAGCACAGT